CCTGTTTTAGAAAATAACAAAAATTGTAGACCCGAGCCTTCTATTTTACAACCCAATCAGCAGGGCCAAGCTTGAACTCTGAGAACTTCCGGACAATATTGGTTCAATTCTGCACAATTCTCTTTCACACTGTTATTGCCCCTAAGAAGGAAAAACTAGGACCATAGTTTTGGGAGATCTTTGGTAACCTTGTGGGAGCTCTGAGGGGAACTGAGAATAGAAGACATGCCCAGGTGAACCAGGACTAGAGGGAAGTAATTGAATCCACCGAGCACCAGCTCACTTCCTCCCACAATGTAATCACTACAGAGAGTCTTAGAGGGGGAGACTCTAGAGAGTTCTCTCTCTCCCTCCTTCCTTTGCTTAGTCCCACCCGCTTCACTTGGTCTAGCCTCTCTGTTTCCATGACAACTCCAAGGGAGCCTAAACTGGGGGCGTGGATACCAGGGTGAGAGGAGGAGAGAGGTGGTCCAAGAGCAGAAAGGGAGAGAGAGAGAGACCAAGACAGAGTGGGGGGAAGTCTGAAGCTCTTCCCCCCTCCCTAGTGGACTCGGTCCCTTTAAGCTCCCTCCCTCCCAGCTCTCTCCCTCCACCCCCCCGCCACTGTCTTCATCTCTCCATCTCTGCGCTGCTGCTGGCTGCGCCATCCCGGACCCAGACTTCTGCACTAGCTAGGGGCCCCTGACTCCAGCTGCAGGGACCCCGTCCCAACAAGACCGCAAGCATGTCATCGGAAAAGTCAGGTAAAAAGCAATAATAACAAAACCTCCCCCACCTTCCCCGGGATCCCCCCCCCCCGAACTTGCCCCTACTCCCTGCCTTAGCCTTCCCTGATGGGTGGTTTAGATGGCTCAGTTCACATTTCCTCCTCTGTCTAGCTTTTAAAGCCCCTCACCCCTCATCTTTCTATCCCCAACGCTTGTCTTCTTTTCCGTAGTCCACTCTCAGCCTCTGCCCCTTGCCAACAACATGGGCAAGGATGGGGGTAGGTGGCAAGGATGAGGGAGCTACAGAGCAGCTTAGCACTGGCCAGGTACTGCAGGAATAGCATCTCTGGGAGTGACAGATGGACAATCACTGGCTCACTTGTGTGGAGACATGATGAGATGGGGGTGTCAGGGAAGTACCACCCAGACTCTTATTATTTTCATTTTTTATAATCTGAAAAGAAGCAAGGAGAGTTCCAGAGGTCAGGGCCCTCCTTCCCCACCGAAGGGGGGATAGAGACAGAAACGTGTCATTCCACATGTGTTTTTATGCAAACTGTTGAACTGAGCACGTATGAACACAGCGTTGCATCTCTACACATGTATATCTATAGGGATAGTTCAGAGAGGCCAGCCCAAAGGCAGTGAGCACGGATGGAGACTGGGTTTGTGGGTGAGCGCTGCATGCACACAGCTAAAAATCAGGAGCAATAGAGTTGTGACCTGAAAACTAGATTGAAGTGGGGGGGTGGCCTAGATACAACCCCTCTACTGCCCCCAAAATGAGAGATGATTTCTCACCCATCTCTCTCTCTCTGTCTCTCTGATTACTTCCCCATCCCTGTCTCTCCTTGCCCCTTCCCATCTCTTCCGCCCCATCTTTCCCCCTTATCCTCCCCTCGGCTCTTCTTGCTCTCAGGCCTCCCGGACTCGGTTCCTCATACTTCCCCACCACCCTACAATGCCCCTCAGCCCCCTGCCGAGCCCCCCGTCCCTCCCCCACAGGCGGCCCCTTCCTCTCACCACCACCATCACCACCACTACCACCAGTCTGGCACCGCCACTCTCCCACGCTTAGGGGCAGGCGGCTTGGCCTCTTCCTCGGCCAGCGCTCAGCGTGGCCCCTCGTCCTCTGCCACATTACCCAGGCCCCCCCACCACGCCCCGCCGGGCCAGGCCTCTGGGGCGCCTCCACCCGGCTGCGCTACCTTGCCTCGCATGCCACCCGACCCTTACCTACAGGAGACTCGCTTCGAGGGCCCACTTCCCCCGCCGCCACCCGCCGCCGCCGCCCCACCCCCGCCGGCGCCGGCCCCGACTGCCCAGGCCCCGGGCTTCGTGGTGCCCACGCACGCAGGGGCGGTGGGCACACTGCCTCTGGGGGGTTACGTAGCGCCCGGCTACCCTCTGCAGCTGCAGCCCTGCACTGCTTACGTGCCAGTCTACCCGGTGGGCACGGTGAGTGTGGGGCTGACAGGGGCCTAGGAGGAGGGGTGCATGCATGGTGGAACGGGATTTGCTTGAAATTGGGGACACTGGAGGCTAGGGAAATAATAAAAACAGGGCTAGGACATAGGTGATGTGCAGGTGGCAAGCTATAGAAAGAAGAGCGGACTAGGGAAAGGCCTGGGAATGTGGGTGATACAGATAAGGTGGGGAGTTCCTCGGGGGTTAGTGGTTAGAGTCTGAGATGGGGAATCTAAGTGGAGAGGAAGTCCTAAAGGACCCAGAGAAGAGGCTAGAAATGGTAGGGGGGAACCAAAGGACATAAGGGAGCGGAAGCTGGGATTGCGGAGGTAGAAGCTGGGTAAGTGTCCAAGAAACAAAATCTGGCAGTGCCAGAGACCCATGCTTTGTGGGAGAACGTGGAAGCCTCCGAGAATATTGGGAGTTAATGGTGCACTGCGAGGAGGCCTAAATGGAATTGATGAGTGTCCCAGAAGGGCAAAGAATTGTGCTTTTAAAACTGAACTGCCAAAGACTCATGGCTGGTAGGCTGGGATAGCCTTGGAGTGACTTCCATCCCTCCTCCCCTCCCTCCTCCCCCCCCCCACCAACTTTCCTCCTACAGCCCTACGCAGGTGGGACTCCCGGGGGAACAGGGGTGACCTCCACTCTCCCCCCACCGCCCCAGGGCCCAGGACTGGCCCTGCTGGAACCAAGGCGCCCTCCGCACGACTACATGCCCATCGCAGTGCTGACCACCATCTGCTGCTTCTGGCCTACGGGCATCATCGCCATCTTCAAGGCAGTGCAGGTGTGGGATGAGGGGCTTAGTTTCACGTGGTTTCCCTTAGTACCCGGCGGCGTTCTGGGGATCGTCTTAGAGGGGGGCTGCGGCTCGCTGACCTCCTCTCCTCCAACCCCTGCCCGGTAGGTGCGCACGGCCCTGGCACGCGGAGACATGGTGTCCGCCGAGATCGCTTCTCGCGAGGCCCGGAATTTCTCTTTCATCTCCCTGGCGGTGGGCATTGCAGCCATGGTACTCTGCACCATCCTCACCGTCGTCATCATTATCGCCGCGCAGCACCACGAGAACTACTGGGATCCCTAAAAACGCTCCGGCCTAGCTCCGCTCTGTACCCTTTGATCTCCCAGGCGCGTCCTGCCGTCCTGCAGCGGACCCGATGGGGGCCATGCAGACCCGCCTCCGGGGCCCGCGGTACTTCAATACATCCTCAACTCCGCCTCCACGGAATCTCTCGCCCCGAGAGAACACGCTCGGAATCCAGTTCCTCAGGAACCTCGCCAAAACTCACACCCCGCGTCCCCCGGGGATGCGGCTTCCCCGGATCCCCGCCAAACGCCAGCCCCAATCCCCAACCCCTTCCAAGTACAGCGCCCCAGCTGAGCTCCCGCCGTCCACGCTCCCCGGCCCTGAGGCCCCGCCCCTCGCTAGGCTCCGCCCCCAGACCTGACAAACCCCGCCTCCTGGTCGGCAGGCCCCGCCCTCTCCTCCCTGTGGGGTGATCAGTCTGGTGATTGTGGGTCTGCGGTTCCCTGACAGAGCCACGCCCCCACGCTCGCTCCCGGTTTTTGCTAGTACTGTTTCGTCTTCCTCTTCTTTCTGGCTAATCCCAGCACTCCATGCTCCCCGCCCCGCCAAACACACTTTTTGTTGTTTTTGGAATGAGATTTGAGAGGTCTCGGGTTTAGGACCTTCTACCTAGAACAACAACAACGAGGTCCCCTTCTCTGTAAATACTCCTATACCTGAGCAGCTCCACAGAAGGGAATCCCGGATAAGGACTCTGGTCCCTGGAGGGAGCTCCCGCGCTTCCCTCCCCTCCCCTGGCCCCCTCCCCTCCCCTCGGCGGTCCCTGACTTGTTCTGATCTGTGTGTGAGTGTGTGAACTTCTGAAAGATGATATTAAAGAGACTTAGTGGATTTGTCACCCCCAATTCCAAGGACTGCGGCCCCACAGGGACTCTGCCTGTTTGGGCTCCTCTTTCACCTTTGTCTCCCTTTTCAAGGTAGGGGGCGAAGTCCAACAAAGCAAAAATGAGATATATTCCCAAACACGAGAGAGATATAAATATGGAAACAAAGGGCGGGGGTGGGGTGGGGGGACGGTTCTTAGGTATCACTAGGGAAGACAGGTGCCACTGTCATCGGCTTGGACTTTGGGGAGGGAAGATTTACAAAGGGACCCACAAATGGAACCCCCAAACTCCAGAAAGGCAAGAGGAAAGATGACAGATCATTGTGAAAAGTTGGTCAAACAGGCCACCAGTGGCTCATTCCTGCCTGTAATCTTAGCTTGAGAAGCTGAGATCTGAGGGTCAAGATTCAAAGCCAGACAGGGTAGGAAAGTCCATGAGATTCTTATATCCAAATAACCACCAAAAAGCCAGAAGTAGTGCTGTGGCTCAACTGGTAGAGAAAGCTCAGGGGTAATCCCCAAGTCCTGAGTTCAAGCCCCAGTACTGGGGACAGGGAAAGTTAATAGAGGAGGCTTCTGTAGGGATGGACTGAGACAAGCAGGGGACTTAGTGTCTTTCATTGTGCACCTGCAGGACAGGGCCCTACTCTAAATTCAAGCACTCATACAACATATGGGCACCATACAGGATGATGGTGGAGACTGACATCTGCGGGAGCTTACTGTGAGCTCCTAGCTCTACAGAGGCAGTGAGTTAGGAGCTGGTGAGAACACTGTGTGGGGCTTGGATAGCATGAGTTCACTTGGGGACATTTTAGGCTTAATGTGCTTTCCTTACCAAAGTTCCTGAAAAAAACAACTCACATTTGCAGCTTCTACTTCCTCATCCTCTAATTATTATCAGAGATGTGTCTGCACCTCTTTCTTGAAATCATACCATTTGTGCGTGTCTATGTGTGTGCGCACGCGCACGCGTGCCAGTACTGGGGCTTGAACTCATTTTCTCATTTGGATTATTTGTTCAAGGCTGGTGCTGGGCCACACCTCAGACTTCCAGGTATTTGCTATTTGGAGATAAGAATCTCATGGGCTCTCTCTCTGCTCTTTTCTAGCTCTTTCTCAGCTCTTTCCTTCTCTTTTCTTTCCCAGCTCTCTTCTCTTTCCTAGCTCTCTCTTTCCCACCTTTCCCAGATGCTCTCATTTCTAGCTCTTCTCTCTTTCTCAGCTCTCTCTCTTTCCCAGCTCTCCCAGCTCTCTTTCCCAGGCCTTTCCTCACCGCATGGAGGACCAAGATGGCCTGGTGCCAGCCGGAACAATGAATAAACCTATCCCTTACCTGAAAAAAAAAAAAAAAAGAATCTCATGGGCTTTTCCACCAGAACTAGCTTTGAACCATAATCCACAGATCTCAGCCTACTGAATAGCTACCACTATCACTATCACAGGTGTGAACTACCACTGCCAGCTTTTATATCATTTCTTTTTTTTTTTTTAAGGTCCGGTCATGGGGCCTGAACTCTGGGCCTAGGCACTGTCTTCAGCTTAAGGCTAGTGCTCTACCACTTGAGCCACATTTCCACTTCCGGCTTTTTTCTTTTTGCTTATGTGGTGCTGAGGAATCGAACCCAGGGCCTCATGCATTGCAAGGCAAGCGCTCTACCACTGAGCCACCTTCCCAGCCCCCCCATACCATTTCTTAAAACTCCTTGCTTCTACTTTCTATGCTCCTGAAGCCACCTTATCAAATGGCACCTAATGACTAGAGATGACTTGGAGCCAAAAATCAATGGTACTCTGCCTCAAAGTACTCTGCCTCCTAAATTCCCTTCTATCTCTCTTGACACTGGGTTCCCAACAGACCCAGGATCAGAGATATGTAATCTCTTCCCTCACCCCTCCATGCACAAACCTGAAATCATCCCTCCTTTCTCCTTTCTTAGTGTCTGTCTCTGATTTTCTTTCTTTTTTTTCTTTCTTTCTTTTCTTTCTTTTGTCAGTCATGGGGCTTGAACTCTGGGCCTGGGTGCTGTCCCTCAGCTCTTCAGCTCAAGGCCAGCACTCTACCACTTAAGCCATAGCACAACTTCTGATTTTCTGAGTGGTTTATTGGAGATAAGAGTTTCACTGCCATTCCTGCCTGGGCTGGCTTTGAGCCATGATCCCCAGATCTCAGCCTCTTGAGTAGCTAGCATTATAGGCGTGAGCCACCAGTGCCCAGCGATCTGATTTTCTTTTCTTCTCTTGAGACTTTTTTTTTTGAAAGTTCATCCATTCAATACATCCATCATGTCAAGTTATTTTTGTTTTATTTATCAACTGGTTGATTGAGTCAGAGCCTTGATATGTAGCTCAAGCTAGACTTAAATTCTGCATCCTCCTATCTCAGCCCCTCCAGTACACCACCATGCCTGGCATTCTGTATTTTGACAGGAGGATGATTGAATCAAGGACTTCAGATATGATACTAAGCAAACACTTTACTACTGAGATACATCCCCAGCCTCGAACCATCAACCTAATCCATTGCCTCTCCAACCTGTACTTTACATTGAAGACCTTCTGCCAAGTGTCTGCAGACAGCAGCCATGAATCATGTTACTGGTCCTCTACACTAAACATGTTCCAAACCAAATTGATGAAATGCCACCAATACTCTGGTACCTTTAACAGCATTGTCTTCCTAGTCATCTTTCCTTTTCTAAATACTTGCCATCTCTCTCTCCTTCCTGTCTGACAAAGGTATACTGTCAAAGCCAAGTCAGTTCCACAGCCACAATATGTTTTGAATGTAACTTTACCCCAGCCTTGCCAAGAGCATTACCTCATCTAGGATTATTACAACAGCTTCCACAACAGGTCTCCCTGCCTCCTACCTTTCTCCCTATTCCAAATTCCCCTCAACACTACTGTCAAATTATCTTCCCTAGACACACTCCTTACATAACTTCATTGCTTACAATCCTTCACAAAGGTGGTGGCACAGTCTGAAACAATTCAGCTGCTTGGGAGGCAGAAATAGGGAGATCACTTGAGTTTTAGATGAGGCTGGGTGCCAGTACAGTAGCCCAAATCTGTAATCCTAGCTATTCAGGAGGCTGAGATCCAAGAATTGCAATTTGAAGCCAGCCTGGGCAGAAAGTCTATGCTACTCTTAATCTCCAATTAACCACCAAAAAGTTACAGGTAGAGTTCTGGCTCAAGTGGTAAAGCACTAGCCATGAGCAAAAAACCTTAAGGGATAGCGCCAGTAAAAGGAGGAGGAGGAGGAAAAGGAGAAGGAAAAAGAGGGAGAGGAGGAGGAAGAGGCAGCATTTCAAGGTTGTCTATTGCTCATTCAATTATTTACAAAATTTCAATCTGGTCTTCAACTCTATATAATTTTAAATCATTCAGCTTTGTCTGTATAACATAATTTCCAACCAACCTAATTTCCAACCAACCAGAAATACTTATCCCCCATCTTCAGGTCTTTACCCAGCTGTTCCGGATCTAAGACCTTCTTCTTCTCCAGTCTCTATTATTACACAAATTGTTTGCAGCTTGTCATGGCTTCAGCCCACTTGTAGGCATTTGCTGACAAGGTGCTTTCTACTTCACATCTGCTTCTCTATTTGGTCAATTGTTTTGGCCAGTCCTAGGGCTTGAACTCAGGGCCTAGGAACTGTCTCTGAGCTTCTTTTGCTCAAGGCTACCACTCTACCACTTGAGCCAAAGCGCCACTTTCTGACTCTATTTTGTGATACTTCAGAATTGTAGGGGGCCCTTTTTAAATCCCAAAGTACTAAGGAATAAAATCCAGGACTTCATGCATGCTAGACAAGTACTCTACCACTAAGCCACATTCCCAGTCCTCTATTTTTCATTTATTTATTTTTTTGTTGGTCGTGGGGTTTGAACTCTGGGCCTGGTGAACTCTGGGCCTGGGTGCTATCCCTGAGCTCTTCAGCTCAAGACAAGCTCTCTGCCACTTGAGCCACAGCACCACTTCTGGTTGTCTGGTCGTTTATTGGAAATAAGAGTCTCATGAACTTTCCTGCCTGGGCTGGCTTTGAACCATGATCCTCAAATCTCAGTCTCCCTAGCAGCTAGGATTACAAGCAATTTTTTTTAACTGTATCTTTTTTTGTCTTTTCTTTTTTTTTTTTTTTTTGGTATTGGGGATTGAACCCAG